AAATCATTTTTTTTAGTAATGCCCATGTTGAGGGTTAGGCCCAAAAAAATGTTTTAATTCGGAAACCGTATTGAGTTTCCATGCGAATGGTCTGGCAAGGTTTGAATTTGGGTTTGGTGGCGATAAATAGTTTCTGCATATAAATTGCTTTGATCACAATCAATGCATACAGATCTTCTGAGAAAAACAGCTCCAAAAAATCAAGGGGAGTTGTCAGGGTCCTGTCCACGGCAGTAGTTCTGGAAGATCTGGCATTTCAGCCAATACTCTGCATGGCCGCAGAAGTACACATCAGCCTCAGTCTGGTGCCAGACGGCCTTTATAAGGAGGCTCATCACTTCCTCTGGTTGCTGGATGATCTCTAGCTCCCCGTGCCCTGTTCCTGTATTTCTGACTTGTGATCTCCTCTTACCGACTCGGTTTGCTCCTGGACCTGTCTACTCTGATTTACCCCTGACCTGACCTCGGCTTGGCTTACGGATACTCTCTCTCTCACTCCTCTGTGAATGACCTTGGCTTTCCCATCTGTCTACGTCCGCTCTGATTCCCACTTCGTACCTGACCTTGGCTTGAACCGACTACTCCGTAAACATCCAAATCCCAGAAGGGCTTACATACCACGCACAGGCACCTCCTGTCTGCAGACCTATCTCTGTGCACCAGCTGTGCTTCTGAGTGGACCACCAACCAGCACTCCTACAGGCGACCTGTGCCACTTTGGGCCTGACTCCCGCTGTCCCACTTTCAGGGGAGTCCATCCGCAAGATAAGCCCTCTCTCCATTGGCCTCCATCACCAGGTACATGATAGGAGTAGTTAAATTTGCTGTTTCCACCTGAATTCTGAGTTGGGCAGTGAATGGGGGAAGTACGAGTGCTGCAGAATTTGTGGGCTGCTAATCGGGATTTGCAAGCACATCTGGAAGGACACCATGGGTTCTACAGGCCTGTGTGCAACTTTGGTTGTGCTCGCCACTGCACCAGCTTGTACTGTACTTATGGGACTTGCCACATCACCAAGTGATACTGCAGTGCTGGTATGTGAAAGACCAGGATGTACTAGGCCGCTGGTGCTCGCCAGTTCACCAAAAGGTAGCGTGGCACTAGTACTGGCACTCTGCTGCACATGAGAGTCATCAAAATTTACCGGCAAGTGCTAGCAGAGATCAGGCCTGATTCTGCCAACACTGTGGTTTTGTGTGCAATGTATCAAGTGATGGTGACCTACTGACACTGCACTTGTGGGGGAGAAGGGGGGTAAGTGTAGGGGCTAAATGCAGGTGCCGGGGCTGATCCCGCTAACGCTGCATTTTTGGGGACACTATACTAATGTGAACGCTGGTATAGTGCTGATCTGATCAAAAATATTGATCCGTTCAGACACTATACTAGCAATGGAGGTTTATTGTGTATGAGCGTCTTCCTGGCAATCAAGGGGTTAAATGTGATGACTGGTGTACTGACGGGCAATCTGATGCCATCTGGGAGGGGCATGAAAACCACGGGAGCGCGAATCACGTATATATATATGTGATTTTTGCGCACTTGTGCTGCCTGTAGCAGTATTTCTGGGCTAGGGCGTTACAGAAGCGGTTTGTGTTACGGCGCTTCATTAATTTAACTGACAATTGCGCGGTCATGCAACGCTGCACCAAAATGAAATTTACGTCATTTTTTTCCCATGAAATTGGGCTTTATTTTGGTGGTATTTGATTGCCTGTAAGTTTTTTATTTTTTGCACTATAAAAAAAAAAGTCTATTTTGAGGAAAAAAAAAAAACTATATTTTGGACTTTTTGCTATAAAACATGTCCAGTAAAAAAAATTTAAAAATTTAATTTTGTCAAATTTGGGTCCAAAATGTATTCTGCTCTGTGTCTTTGCTAAAAAAAAATCCCAATACGTGTAAATTAATTGGTTTACGTGAAAGTTATAGCGTTTACAAATGGCGGTATAGATACTGGATTTTTTTTTTTTTATTAATAACAATAGCTAATAGCTGGCGATCAGCGACTTATGGCGGGACTGCGGCGGACATTCTGACACTGGGGGGGGGGAACTGACTTGGGATCACTGACATCCTCAGTGACACCAATACAGTGATCAGTGCAAAAAAAAAAAGCACTGACACTGTACTAATGGCACTGGGAGGAAGGGGTTAACATTTTTAGGCAATCAAAGGGTTAACTGTGTGAGGGGAGTGTTTTACTAGTGGGCGGGGGGGGGTGTGTCTTCACAGGAACACACTGATCCGGAAAACTGAAAGCTGCTCTCCAGAACAGTGTGCTGGAAACTGACAGGGAGGAGAGCTGCATTGAAAACAATGCAGCCTTCCTCCCTGCCAATGTAATCACTGGCCGGGTCACTGATGATTGACACCCGTGACACCACGATCGGTGCCGCAGGTAGGACGGTTGCATGCTGCACACGGCCCCTAGCAAGTAAACAGGATGACGGTTATAAACATGATCCTGCGCACAGGGGCCGCTTTGTGGCAGTATATGTACTGTGGGCCGTCCCCTAGTGGAGTGATCAGTGATAATCCCATACACTGTCACTGGACTAATGACACTGGCTGGGAAGGGGTTAACATGTAGGACCATGAAGAGGATCCATGTGTGTAATTATGTGTCACGTGTGTACAGTGTGCTGCCTTTACTAACTCATCTCTCATTATACATTGTGCTGATCCAACAATATTATCCCCATGAACCCCAATGCAGCATTCCCAATATGTCATTATTTATTATATGGGGATATATATATATACACAGACTATATGACCTCCTCATGTATATATTACACTGCCCTGCGTTTCTTACAGCTTTAATGCCGGTGAATGTTTCTAATGTCTCTTACTATACCTCTTGATGTGTAATGTATTGTTGCTTGTGTGAGCATGTTGTGATGTCACCTTTGTCCCGCCTCCTTTCCCGGGACTGCCCAACCCAAGTGGGAGGGTCCAACCTCTGTCCCAGGGTATATATTGAAGAGGGTTGTCATTGCCAAGTCAGCTCTGATGAAGAAGGGACTCCCTTCGAAATGCGTCAGCCTGACTCTGAGAACCTTCCCTCGTGTTTTAGACTCGCGCTGGTCTCTGATTGGTCAAGTCTCACTAAGGACTTTACACGCTTCTTATACTTCTCTGTTTGTGAGGATATTTTCACATCCAATAAAATCACATTTTACTGAGGTAATGCACAAGGTTGGTGCGCTTTTTGTTTCGCTTTACAGTATTGGTGGGGCTTCCCCAGCCTTGTTTAGAGCCGCACAACCTTTGATGCCTTGGTGGGGAATTTCTTCAAGTTCCGGGTCCATCTATCCACCCTTGTTCTGGGCCATAGAGGGCAGGAGGGGTTGTTTTGTGTTTACACCCGCAGTACCATTACTCCAGTCACTTTCCGGGTCGTTACCATCCCCCATTATTATCATCACTGTCCCAGCCCTTTCCATCTGTGGGAGGAGCTGAGTCTCCACCTCCTCATTAACACTGGGAGGCCTATAACAAACTCCAATGATGACCTTTGTAGTACCGCCCCCCATGTGCAGTTCCACCCATAATACTTCAGCCTCATCACACTCTCCATCAACTAGGTCCTCTTTCACACTCGCTCTGAGATCACTTCTCACATAGAGACAGACACCACCACCTTTCCTATTTCCCCCGTCTCTCCGAAAGAGAACCTAGCCAGGAATATGAATGGCCCAGTCATGTGAGGAATGAAGCCAAGATTCAGCAATACCAATTCAATCCTAGTTCTTCATGCACCAAACCTTCCAACTCACCTATTGTGCTGGGCACACTTCTGGCATTGGGGAACAAACACTTTCATTCACTGACACCTTGTTCATTCTCCGACACCTTGTCCATTCACCGCCACCTTGTTCATTCACTGACACCTTGTTCATTCACTCACCACCTTGTCATTCACCGACGCTTTGTCCATTCACTAACACCTTGTTCATTCACGGATACCTTGTTCATTCACTCGCCGACACCTTGTCCATTCACTGACACCTTGTTCATTCACTGACACCTTGTCATTCACGGACACCTTGTCATTCACCGACACCTTGTTCATTCACCGACACGTTGTCCATTCACCGACACCTTGTCCATTCACTGACACTTGTTCATTCACTGACACCTTGTCCATTCACCGACGCCTTGTCCATTCACTGACGCCTTTGTTCATTCACTGACACCTTGTCCATTCACTGACGCCCTTTTTTCATTCACTAACACCTTGTCCATTCACTTGACACCTTGTCCATTCACCGACGCCTTTTCCATTCACTGACACCTTGTTCACATGGATTTTGTGTATTTTTTATTTTCATACAGATGGTACCAATTCCACTGGTTGTTTGTAACATGGGAACCTTCGTACCATCTGCCATAGCCCTCCCCCCATCTTTCCCCATTCCACCCCCCAATAAGTACTGACCCGTCTGATCTGTCTACCCCGTTATAATTGAATTCTCCCTCCCCCCCTCCATCCTAGTTTATATACTCCTCCAGCCTTCCCATAAACCCCTCCCCCAGCACAGCAGACCCCCTTCCATGTAGGTGCAAACCATCTCTAGTATAAAGGCTGCACCCCAATGAGAAGTCAAGTGCTCTAGGTCAGGACTCCATTTTTATTCAGCCCAGTGCTCTAGGTCAGGACTCCATTTTTCCATGTCTTGGGGACCTCTGATCTCTCCTTAGGAACTGTTTGTTCCATGATGAAGATCAGCCATGGAGTATATCTGAGGTGTATATCAGGGTGTGCTTCTTCCCCACATGAGAGCTGGGATGTCCAGCAACATTCATCTAGAAGACATTTCCCACACTCAAGGCACTAATACACCTCCAGGGTTGTGTGGGATCCCTGATGTACATGAAGACAGGACTTCAGTGAAGAACATTTCCTCACTCAGGACAGGAAAGTGGCTTCTCCCCTGTGTGAGATCTCTGATGTCTGTAAAGATTGGACTTCTGTGAAAAACATTTCCCGCACTCAGGACAGGAATATGGCTTCTCCCCCGTGTGAGATCTCTGATGTGTGTAAAGATGGGACTTCTTTGAAAAAACATTTCCCACACTCAGGACAGGAATACGGCTTTTCCCCTGTGTGAGATCTCTGATGTGTGAAAGATTGGACTTCAGTGAAAAATATTTCCCGCACACTCAGGACAGGAATACGGCTTCTCTCCCGTGTGAGATCTCTGATGTGAGTGTAAAGATTGGACTCAATGAAAAACATTTCCCACACTCAGGACAGGAATACGGCTTCTTCCCCTGTGTGAGATCTCTGATGTGTGTGAAGACCGGACTTCTGTGAAAAACATTTCCCGCACTCAGGACAAGAATACGGCTTCTCCCCCAGTGTGACATCTCTGATGTACGTAAAGAATGGACTTCTTTGAAAAACATTTCCCGCACTCAGGACAGGAATATGGCTTCTCCCCTGTGTGAGATCTCTGATGTGTGGTAAAGATGGACTTCTGTAAAAAACATTTCCCGCACTCAGGACAGGAATACTGCTTTTCCCCTGTGTGAGATCTCTGATGTGTGTAAAGGTTGGACTTGTCTGTGAAAAACATTTCCCACACTCAGGAACAGGAATACGGCTTTCACCCGTTGTGTGCAGATCTCTGATGTATGTAAATATGGGACTTCACTGAAAAACATTTCCCCGCACTCAGGACAAGAATACGGCTTCTCCCCCGATGTGAGAGCGCTGATGTGTGTGAAGACTGCCCTTCTGAAAAACATTTCCCACTCAGGAACAGGAATATGGCTTCTCTCCCGTGTGAGATCTCTTATGTGTGTAAAAGATAGAATTTTGATGAAAAACATTTCCCACACTCAGGACAGGAATACAGCTTCTCCCCTGTGTGTGAGATCTCTGATGTTTTACAGATTAGACTTCTTTGAAAAAACATTCCCTGCACTCAGGACAGGAGAACCTTTCCCCCAGTGGAGGAACTGTGATGTGTCCCCGCACAGTCTGAGGTTCCTCAGGACTTCGAGGAATCCGATGGTCCCACACTCAGGACAGGAATACGGACATTGGAGGGAGCCGGTGAGTTTCTCTGGACTATACTGTGTGATGCCTCCTCCTTCAGTAAAAAACTTTCCAGTCTGGAGGACAAAGTGAGAAATCCTGGAGGTTTTTCCCCCTGTGATCTCCCGGACCATGGACTAAAATACAACAGACAAACAGAGGATTAGATCTTAGACAGGAGCTGATTGGTTTACCCCAAACCAGGAAACCCCCGCACAGCTTGGGCTCTGACAGAGCTTAAGCTCTTCCCCTCAAGGGAACCGGAAATGGCTCCCGCTGATCTCCTACCAGGTCATTTCTCAGGATTCATGGCCCTTAGTCAGAGAGTGAGGATGGTCAACCAGGACACTGTCTTTTATAGCCGGGACAGTGATGAGGGGATTATAGGACGAGGGTTTTCCCCCTATACCCTCTATCACTCATCGCCATCTTCTACTTTCAAATCTGGAAGTACAAAGTGAGACAATCCTCAGAGGTATTTACCTCCATGATCCCGTCATGAAGAACAATACAAAGACAAGAGGATTACTAGACAGAGGTGATTGGTTCCCCAAACCAGGAGAGGCTGAGGATGGGGGGGAGATGGACAACCAAGATGAAGACTGGACTGATTCTGAAGACCACCATCATTGGGGTATTGACTCCTCCCTCATTATCACTTTCTGTTTAAGGGTCCAAAGTTGGAGGATGTTCTCACATATTATCACCATGTAAAAAGTCTGTGCTCCAATCACATCATCCGATATAAAATGTCCAGCTGGGAGGAAATGGGTGTAACAAAAGAGAATCCATATTATGTGTATATATAGCAGTGGGGGGAGGGGGAGAGCAGAAGTTAGGACTATGGAATGTACAACATAGTAGAGTATATAGTGCAGGGGTCAGGAGTATGTAATGTACAACATAGAGTATACAGTGCAGGGGTCAGGAGTATGTAATGTACAACATAGAGTATATAGTGCAGGGGTCAGGACTATGGAATGTACAACAGAGTATATAGTGCGGGGTCAGGAGTATGTAATGTACAACATAGAGTATATAGTGCAGGGGTCAGGAGTATGTAATGTACAACACAGAGTATATAGTGCAGGGGTCAGGAGTATGTAATGTACAACATAGAGTATATAGTGTCACACAAATCTGATTTCTTTTTATGAGGTGAGCAAAACCTTGGACAGAGGGGTGGTGGTGGACGTGGTATACTTGGACAGAGGGGTGGTGGTGGACGTGGTATACTTGGACAGAGGGGTGGGTGGCGGTGGACGTGGTATACTTTGACAGAGGGGGTGGTGGCGGTGAACGTGGTATATTTGGACAGAGGGGTGGCAGTGGATGTGGTATAGTTGGATTAGAGGGGTGGCTGTGAACCTGGTACACTTGGGACAGAGGGGTGGCGGTGGACGTGGTATACTTGGACAGAGGGGGTGGCTGTGGGGTGGCGGAGTGGTATACTTGGACAGAGGGGTGTGGCGGGGTGGACGTGGTATACTTTGACAGAGGGGTGGCGGTGAACGTGGTATATTTGGACAGAGGGGTGGCGGGTGGACGTGGTTATACTTGAACAGAGGGGGGTGGCGGTGGAGTGGACGTGGTATACTTGGACAGAGGGATGGCGGTGAACGTGGTATACTTGAACAGAGGGGTGGCGGTGGGACGTGGTATACTTGGACAGAGGTGGTGTCGGTGGACGTGGTATACTTGGACAGAGGGGTGGCGGCGGAAGTGGTATACTTGGACAGAGGGGGTGTCGGTGGCCGTGGGTTATACTTGGACAGAGGGGTGGCGGCGGACGTGGTATACTTGGACAGAGGGGTGGCGGTGGACATGGTTATACTTGGACATAGGGGTGGCGTGGACGTGGTATACTTGGACAGAGGGGTGGCGGGTGGGACATGGTATAATTGGACAGGGGTGGCGGTGGACGTGGTATACTTGGACAGAGGGGTGGTGGAGGGTATGGTATACAGTCAGGTCCATAAATATTGGGACATGGACACACAATTCTAACATTTTTGGCTCTATACACCACCACAATGGATTTGAAATGAAACGAACAAGATGTGCTTTAACTGCAGACTGTCATTTTTAATTTGAGGGTATTTACATCCAAATCAGGTGAACGGTGTAGGAATTACAACAGTTTGCATATGTGCCTCCCACTTGTTAAGGGACCAAAAGTAATGGGACAGAATAATAATCATAAATCAAACTTTCACTTTTTAATACTTGGTTGCAAATCCTTTGCAGTCAATGACAGCCTGAAGTGTGGAACGCATAGACATCACCAGACGCTGGGTTTCATCCCTGGTGATGCTCTGCCAGGCCTCTACTGCAACTGTCTTTCAGTTCTTGCTTGTTCTTGGGGCATTTTCCCTTCAGTTTTGTCTTCAGCAAGTGAAATGCTCAATCGGATTCAGGGGGTGGTCAGGTGATGGACTCGGCCATTGCAGAACATTCCACTTCTTTGGTTGCTTTTGCAGTCTGCTTTGGGTCATTGTCCATCTGCACTGTGAAGCGTCCAATGAGTTGTGAAGCATTTGGCTGAATATGAGCGATAATATTTCCCGAAACACTTCACAATTCATCCGGTGCTTCTGTCAGCAGTCACATCATCAATAAACACAAGAGAAGCGTTCCATTGGCAGCCATACATGCCCACGCCATGACACTACCACCACCATGATCACTGATGAGGTGGTATGCGACGGATCATGAGCAGTTCCTTCTCCATACTCTGTCTCTTCCCATCACTCTGGTACAAGTTGATGTTGGTCTCATCTGTCCATAGGATGTTGTTCCAGAACTGTGAAGGGCTTTTTTTTTACATGTCGTTTTTGGCAAACTCTAATCTGGCCTTCCTGTTTTTGAGGCTCACCAATGGTTTCCATCTTGTGTGTGAACCCTCTGTATTCACTCTGGTGAAGTCTTCTCTTGATTGGTGACTTTGACCCACATACACCTACCTCCTGGAGAGTGTTCTTGATCTGGCCAACTGTTGTGAAGGGTGTTTTCTTCACCAGGGAAAGAATTCTTCCGCTCATCCACCACAGTTGTTTTCCGTGGTCTTCCGGGTCTTTTGGTGTTGCTGAGCTCACCGGTGCGTTCCTTCTTTTTAAGAATGTTCCAAACAGTTGTTTTGGCCGCCTCATGTTTTTGCTATCTCTCTGATGGGTTAGTTTTGTTTTTTCAGCCTAATGATGGCTTCACTGATAGTGACAGCTCTTGGGATCTCTCATCTTGAGAGTTGACAGCAACAGATTCCAAATGCAAATAGCACACTTGAAATGAACTCTGGACCTTTTATCTGCTCATTGTAATTGGGATATAATGAGGGAATAACACACACCTGGCCATGGAACAGCTGAGAAGCCAATTGGCCCATTACTTTTTGGTCCCTTAACAAGTGGGAGGCACATATGCATACTGTTGTAATTCCTACACCGTTCACTTGATTTGGATGTAAATACCCTCAATTTAAAGCTGACAGTCTGCAGTTTAAAGCACATCCATCTTGTTCGTTTCATTTCAAATCCATTGTGGGTGGTGTATAGAGCCAAAAATGTTAGAATTGTGTGGATGTCCCAATATTTATGGACCTGACTGTAATTGGACAGAGGGGGGTGGTGGCGGGGGGGCGGTGGACGTGGTATACTTGGACAGAGGGGGGTGGCGTGTGGACGTGGTAACTTGGACAGAGGGGTGGCGGTGGGACGTGGTATACTTGGACAGAGGGGGTGGCGGTGGACGTGGTATACTTGGACAGAGGGGTGGCGGTGGACGTGGTATACTTGGACAGAGGGAGTGGCGGGGTGGATGTGGTATACTTGGGCAGAGGGGGGGCGGTGGACGTGGTATAATTGGGCAGAGGGGGGGGCGGTGGACGTGGTATATACTTGGACACAGTTCCCCACACACGGCTAATGTTGTAAGGTAAAGTCTACAGGATGGAAAAATACTGAATGTAAAACTGGCTAAAAAGATGGTATTCAGTAGAGTAGTAGTTAATGATTTCATATCTGAATGGGTTCTGGGGGTACAGTGGTGATTCCCATAGGTTCAGTTTGATTAGTGGAGTTACTCACCAAGGAGTCAGTGTTATTTAGTGGGGATACCCCAAGGTTCAGT